CCCCGGGGTGTCACCCACGGCGCTGGGGCTGCTGCCCCCCGACCCGCGCCCCGGGGTGTCACCCACAGCCCTGGGGCTGCTGCCACCCGACCCGCACCCCGGGGTGTCACCCACGGCGCTGGGGCTGCTGCCACCCGACCCGCGCCCCGGGGTGTCACCCACGGCCCTGGGGCTGCTGCCACATGCTCTGCTCCCCGGGGTGTCACCCACAGCTCTGGGGCTGCTGTCACCTAACCCACACCCTGGGGGTGTCACCCACAGCCCTGGGGCTGGTGCCACCCAACCCGTTCCCAGGGGTGTCACCAATGGCCCTGGGCAGCTCCCACTTACTCCGGCCCCCATGGGTGTCACCGATGGCCCTGGGGCTGGTGCCACCCACCCTGGTCCCCATGGGTGTCACCAATGGCCCTGGGCTGGTGCCACCCACCCTGGTCCCCATGGGTGTCACTGGCCCTGGGCCACGTGCAGAGCGGCCGCCTAGGACGGGGCTGGCTGCGCCCAGGGTCACCCCAGCCCCACGGCCACCCCGGTCCCCCCCTCCGCTCCAGCCCCAGCCACCCAGCCCCACATCCCGCTGCCCCACGGCCACCCCGGTCCCCCATGCCCCCCTCCAGCCCCCCAGCTCACGTGGCAACATGTGGGGGCTGAGCAGCAGGTTGGGGACCAGGGTGTCGCCGGGGGGGGGCCCCAGGGCGCCCAGCGGCTCCGGCGCCAGGGCCGGGCCGGGGGGCCCCCCCGCGAAGGGGTCGTCGCCGTCACCGTCACCGTCGTCCTCGGGCCACACGAGCGGCGGCAGCGGCTCCGGCACCTCTGTGGCCGGGGGCGTCAGCGGCCGGGGGGGCGCCCGGGACCCCCGTCCCGCCCCGCGCTCACCCGCGATGCTCAGGGACGTCAGCTCCTGCAGCTGTGGGGACACGGCGGGTCAGGGGACACGGGCGACATCAGGGGAAATGGGGACGCCAGGGGACACGGTGACGCCGGGACGGGCGCCCCCAGCCCCCCTCGGTACCTGGCTCACGTCGTCATCCCCGGTGTCGACAGCGTCGTCCTCGGCCGGGGCATCTGCGGGGGACACGGGGGACCATGGGGCACAGGGGACATGTGGGGTGCAGGGGCTGTGGTATCTCCATGGAGCGGAGATCCCCACGGAGCAGAGTGTCCCCATGGGGCACAGTGTCCCCAAGGATCGCAGGATCCCCACAGAACACAGTGTCCCCAAGGGTCACATTCCCACGGATCACAGTGTCCCCACGGATCACAGTGTCCCCAAAGGTTGCAGTGTCTCCAAGGGTCACAGATCCCCACGGATCACAGTGTCCCCCAGGGTTGCAGTGTCCCCATGGATCACAGTGTCCCCAAGGGTCACAGTGTCCCCATAGGTCACAGTGTCCCCATGGATCACAGTGTCCCCACAGATCACAGGGTCCCCAGGGGACACAGACCCGTCCCTGAGGCCCCTCCATCACACGTCCCTGCCCAAGAGCACACGGGTGACGCGCGGACCCCGCTGTGCAGGGACCTGCTGGGAACAGTGGGGACACAGTGGCCAGCCAAGGGCACACGGTACCGGTATCGGTCCTGGTCCCGGTACCAGCTCCGTGTGCCGCCCCACACAGCTTGTAGATGCGCTAGGGCCGCCGCGGCGTGCCGCAGTGTCGGTACCGGTATCGGTAGCGGTGCTGGTACCAGTACCTGCTCCGTGTGCCGTCCCGCAGAGCTCGTAGCCGCGGTAGGGCCGCCGCGGCGTGCCGCAGTGTCAGTCCCGGTATCGGTAGCGGTGCTGGTACCAGTACCTGCTCCGTGTGCCGCCCCACACAGCTTGTAGATGCGCTAGGGCCGCCGCGGCGTGCCGCAGTGTCGGTACCGGTATCGGTAGCGGTGCTGGTACCAGTACCTGCTCCGTGTGCCGTCCCGCAGAGCTCGTAGCCGCGGTAGGGCCGCCGCGGCGTGCYGCAGTGTCAGTCCCGGTATCGGTAGCGGTGCTGGTACCAGTACCTGCTCCGTGTGCCGTCCCGCAGAGCTCGTAGACGCGGTAGGGCCGCCGCGGCGCGTCGCGGCTGCCGTCGTAGCGCAGGCGGAAGTCGCGGCTCTTGTTGAGGGCGCAGCGCAGCGTCGCCTTCCACTTGGCCGGGTCGGGCTCGTCCAGCCCCGCCGTGAACTTGCCGGTCTCCTGGGCCCAGGCCTGGGGGGAGAGGATGAGGATGAGGATGGGGGGGTCACACAGGCCCCCAACACCCCCTCGACCGCGCGGGCGCCCCGTCACCTTGAAGATGGTGTCGCCGTGGGGCTGCTGCGGCGCGTGGCGCGTGGCGTGGCGCCAGGGGATGCAGAAGAGGCGGCGCTGCGGGTCGAGCCAGCGCAGCCCCGGGTAGCGCCCGCTGTCCACCTGCGCCACGAGCCAGGGCCGCAGCCGCACGCGCCGCGCCGGCGCGCTCATGGCCGCGGCGGCACCGGAGCGGCGCGGAGGGAGCCGCGACACCCGCGAGCGCAGCGGGACGCGCCGCTTCCGCGTGGGGAATGCACAGAGGAACCGATTCCCGAGCGGGAAAGGGCGGGGTGGCCGCCCCGGCTCATTAGCATACGCTTTGCATACATTTGCATGCAGCGCCCCACGGGGCGCGGGGAATTCCCGCGGAGGCGGGGCGCGCTGCCACGCCCCCTCCGAAGCCACGCCCCCCCTGCAGCTGCGATTGGCTGCGCTCGCTGCTCCTCGCCCCGCCCCTGGCTCCCCGCGCGCTGCAGCGATTGGCCCGCGCGCCCGCCCGCGCCATTGGCTGGCGGCAGGCAACGCCCCCTCCTCGCGCGTTGCCCGGCAACGCCGGGGCGCGCCCCGCCGGGCGCAATTAACAGGCCCGGATTAATTGGGGTTAATTAACGGGCACGGAGCGGGGCCTCCCCAACCCGCTGCCCCCTGCGGGGGTTTCACTGGGCTTGGCAACCGGGAGGCGCCACCGGCTGCTCCCACATCCCGCGGGAAGGGAGTGGGACTTGGAAACCGGGAAATTGGGATCGCGTGGAAGTTTTTCCCGGGGTAAAATCAGGGTGAAAAAGTGGGTGGAAATAAAGTAAGTGTAAAAATAAGTGTTAAAAGGGTGTAAAACGGGACTCTGCAGTTGACTGGGAATCCAGTTGCTTCATGTTAATATTTTTGGAAAGGCTCTGAAAAAAATGGATTAATAATAATAATTTAAAAAAAAAAGTAATGGTGGAAACAGTGTGAGAGCAGGAGGAAACGCCGGGAAACTCGGGAAGGGCTTCCAGTTGCTCCCCGGCTCTCCTTCCCGCCGGCTTTGCTGCATCAAAAAAATAAATTAATACATTAAAACTGGTTTAAACCTGGTTTAAAACCCAGCTGGAAGCTGGGGAAGAGCCTGGCTCTGCTGGGTGCATCCCAAGGCGCTGCCAGCAGGGAGCTCCTTGCTCCCATTTTCCATCCCCTCTCCTCCCGCCCGCGTGGGCGGCATTCCCAATTCCATTGTTTTCCGCACCCTCTCTTCCCGCCCACACGGGCAGCATTCCCGGCTCTCCCGATTCCATCCTCGGCTCTTCCAGAGCAGGGGTTGCCTCAATGCTTCTTAAATCACCCTGTTCCACAGGAGCCTTTCCAAGGAAAAACTAGTTTTTCTTTCATACAAAGCCCGAAAACACAAATTTTACAAGTTTAGGGGCACGAAGACGCCCCCCCCAAACCCTTTATTAAAATATCTTTAATTAAAAAACACAACTCTTGATTTTAAGAGCGGATTCGGGCCGGGCTCCAGGCCGCCCTGGGCCACTTACCGACAGCGGGATCCTTGTGGCATCGTCCCCAAGAGTCCGTCGTGTCCGCGGGACACTCGGCAATCGTCACTGCGGGGATTAAAAATAAACAACGACCCTTCCCCTTCCCCAGGACGGGGAAAAAGCTCCGCGACGCCTTGTGTCCGTGTGGGGATTCGTGTCCGTGTGGGGATTCGCGTCCGCGCGGGGGGTTTATTTATTAATTTTTTCATTTTTCCCCCCTGCAGTGGATGATTTAAGAGGCGGGCCGGGGCCGGGCACGCCAGCTGCCTCTCGAAACGTGTTTCGGGCTCCGCGGCGGGGGGAAAGGCATCGGCTTTCTGTAAATATGGAGCGCCAACATCTGCCAGAGATAGCGCAGCCGGCGGCGAACGTGCGCCGGGGGGCCGCTCGCCTGCCCTAATTTAGGCATTTACTTCAGGGCGGGATGAATCATGCCCTGGAAGTGCCGCTTTCTTTCCAGTGACTATAAAGGGAGCCCGGAGCCGCGAGGGGCCGCGGCCAAAGCGATTAAGGGCCCCTCGTCACCCGGCGCGCTCCTTGGCCGAGCCGCGTGTCACGTTTGTGCGGTGTCACCCGGCCGGGACAACGCGAGCCGCCCTCTTGTTAACGCTTTGCTGCAAAATTGGGATAATTTTACCTTTTTTTTTTCCTCCTTCCGTCGTTGGCTCGCTGACAAAGGGAGCTCCGCGCGCCGCCGCGGGGTTATTTTGGGAGCGCGGCCCCGCGCTGCGCCGTGACAGGGATTTTCGGGCGAGCACCTGACGCAGCCGCGACATGGCACGGCGGTGACACAAGCGACGCCAATATCCCGGTGACACAAGCGCGGCGGCCCTGCCGCGAGCACGGGGGGGACGGGGCGCTCGAGCCCCATGACTCAGGGGATGCCACAGACAACAGAGGGTATTAAGGAATATATCTGGCTTATCAAAAAGCGGTTATATGACGTCATTTAAGAGGCGCGTTGGGCGGCAGGGAGAGCCGCCCCCCTCTCCCCACAGGACCCAACATGGCGCCCTCCCCCACTCCCTTTTCCCGCCCTTTCCAACCTCCGCCGACCACGTGACCGCCGCGCGCCCCCTCCCCCCGCTTCCCCCCGCCCTTCCCGCCGCGCCTGCGC